TCTGCAATATTCTGCTATGCACTGGTTAATTGGGCGTAATAAATTTCGGATTCATGACGTAATGTTATGTAAACATATTTGGAGCTCTGTTTAAACCCGAATGATATTATTGATATTGTTACGCAGTTAGGTATTGGTTGTTAAAAGGACTATTGACCACTCATAATTTGGAACAGAAATTTGCCTTCATTACGGTAGTGTTGAGTGGGATCATGTCTAATCAAACGAAACACTGCGAGGAGTATGCTACAATAGTGACCTTACGTCTATATACTATTTGTTTTTGTCTTTTTGAAATATCACTTCATTCGTTTGTCAGGTATAGACAGATGTATATGACTACTATGCTAGTATAAAATACACTATTTAGTTTTTACGATTTGCTGTTCAAAAATCCGTCATATTGCCGAATTAATGAAATGTTGAAAATTAGTTTAGACAGATTAATATTTACCAAGAACAGCTCTTTGTGGCATTTACAGCAATTAAAGTTGCAATTGCAAATTTTCAAGTTATATTTTTAAAATGTATTAAAATAAAGCCTTAAAATAGATGGTATCCATAAACAGTCCTACCTTGTTAAAAAATAATCCTATTAATCCTATAATTCGCTATTGCCAGCGGAGAAATTGGCAAAAATATCATTTTTAACTTCAAATTCCAACGTTGGAAAATGGCTGCCCCATGTTGTCAATAGCAAAACAGGGGAGGTAATTGTGTTGTTATTTCCTGTGTTATAGATTTTTAAGGGTGGAAAATAATGCCCATGATCGTATAATAGTGATTTGATAACCTATTGAGAAAAAGACATAGAAATAATTATGTTTTGACTTTCTTAGAAAATTTGAAATTCTCGCTTTAAGGTTTCCAAACTTCATGGTTTAAAAATTTTAACGGTAAAATTGTGAGCTCAGTTTTCATGATTAGACACTTATTAGATAGATAGTAGATAGCAAAGTATAGCGGTATATTTTAATTTGAAATACTTATTGGTAATAAGTATTTATAGTTTTGATAATGGAACAGATTTTAAGAGAGAGAGAGAGAGAGAGAGAGAAATGGTGTTTAACGTCCACTCGGGAACATATTTTAAAGGTGAATTATTTTATGAAAGTATATAATCCGTTTATATTTATTTGTGTATTTCTATTTCGATTACGGTTTGCTCTAAATAGACTGGAGCCCATGTTAATTTGGTTTCCAGTGCCCTGTTACACTTTTCAGTGTGTAAAGAAAGCGTTTGTTTTCGTCATTTTTGGTGAAAATCGTTATTTTTGGACAAAAACTGGAGATTATTTACTACTAAACGGTTCGAGTGCCACCGAATTCTTTTCTTGATCTTAATCCTATAGATCATTGCCTTTTCAGTCAGCATTCCAAAAAAACAGGGCTTATACCCGCAGTGAGTGAGATATATACAGGTCACAATTCTAGAATTGAGTGAGATATAGATAGAATAAAATGACATACCTAATTGAGCTATTTTGGTACCTTGCAGCACTACATGTAAGTCCCTATATCAAAACCTCTCGCAAACGCATTAATGATAAAAATGTCTTTTAATCATCTAATAAATTTAGATACCTGTGTTGAAAGGAAGTAATTACATGTGCTTTGGACAAATCTATCAAATAGCTGTCACCGTGACTCCATATAGTGTAAAAAGATTAATGTCTAAATGTGTTAACTAATAATATCCGAACAATAACAAGATTAAGATTTTGTAGTATGTGGTTACGTAAGTAAATCCTAGCAATTGGTACATACCATAACATAATAGAACACAAAATGCCATATAGTAAGTTTTAACCAGTTTGGAAAATAAAAATAAAATGAATATAAAAAAATGAGTGAAATCTAATTTGAAACAATTAGAAAGAGGGACATAAAGTATTCGGTCTAAAGATTATCTAGAACAACGGTCATCATTATCAATATCACTAAAATCATTGAAGTTCAAAAATAAAGTTTTACGTTATGATATAGATCACAATTAAATGAACGAGATTCCTTGCACTCCTGTGATTCAATTTCTGTCAGATAAAAATTTAGTATTGGCAATGAAGTTTGAAATGAAAAAAAAAAACGATTAGCTGAAATTATACATGCCCTCTGCTCTTCCACTGTGGTTACCCTCACGCTTGCTTGAAACAGGGGTCACGGTGGCTAGGTGGATAAGACGCTGGCTCAATAGACTGGAGGTCGGGTGTTCGATCCCTGCATTGGCCGAGAAAGTTCATCCAGATTTACCTGCAGGTAAAAGATTCCTTGGCAGTTGGAATTCGATATAATTCGATAAAAATTTCCCTCATAGCACACTGTATGGCGTATGCCCGTCTTCATAAGTCCAGTCTCGAAACAATCCAATCTGTTTCACAAAGGTATTACGAAAGTCTTCTAATAACTCTGTAAAGGATGACTGCTTTCAACATGTGACGCCACATCACGTGGCGTCAATCATTGTTTCAATGACGCGCTTTTACCCATTTTACATACCCATTTACACTAAATAGGAAATATTCCTTACCTACATATACTTCAAACATGTCATCCCTATCAGTGATTGTAGCGGCCTAGCGAATATTCACTGATCAGTACTGCATCAATCATCAACTGAATACTAATTAAACAGGGTCGCAGTGAAAGTCACTCGACCGTCACAATAACTGGCACGCATGACCAAGTTAATTAGGTAGCTTTTAATTAGCAATATTGATTTCTTAATCAGTTTAAATTATATCGTTAGCTATCAATTGATACAGAAATAGTCCCTCAATAAGTGACATGATATGAAATAAATTTAATGTTCTACTATTCTCTGAAAGTTATACGCAACAAAAACTCGAATGGAATGTCTATAACTCTTAAAGGACAATATTGGTGTCAGTCATTATTACATATGTGATAGAACTGGTTAAATACATTCCAAAAATAATTTTAACACAGGGATCATTGCTACGGGAGACGTGTAACAAGCACGTGAAGAAAAGGGAAGTGACGCCAAACATGACAAACACGAGTTGTCCTTCTATATAACAGACTGAAGTAACGAGCGGTAACAGACAAACGATCGAATTTCATTTCACTGATAATTCCGTTGAAGTTCAAAAGTTAATATATGGGACGGTGAGAGGGTATCTCACAATTCAAAAATAGAATTGGCTGTCACTAGATAAGATACGCGAGAAAAAGTAGAAAAATCCCGTGCATTCCCTGTTTTTATTCATTCTGTTCTTAATAAAAAAGATGGTAATGCACGGACCTTTTCTAATTTGTTTGTTATCTTTTATCTACTGACAGCCAATTCTTTTTTTGAATTGTCAGATATCCTCTCACCGTCAGATATAACAACTTTTCATCTTCAACGGAATTATCAGTGAAATGAAATTCGATCGTTTGTCTGTTACCGCTCGTTACTTCAGTCTGTTATATAGAAGGGCAACTCATGTTTGTCATGTTTGACGTCACTTCCCGTTTCTTCATGTGCTTGTTAGACATCTCCCGTAGCAATGATCTCTGTGTTAAAATTATATTTGGAATGTATTTAACGAGCTCTATCACATATTTTATAATGACTGACACTAATATTGTCCTTTAAACGCTGAATTTGTGAATCGCATTAAATAACTTTTTTACTAACACTTTTAACTACATGTATGTGGAACATTTTGGACGAACAGTTTTTAATATGTAAAGAACCCAAGAGTCCAGCTATGTGGTTTTTACTACGAGCACTTTGAGGGAAATTTTTCCCTGACAGCGTCGCTACGGCCAACTATTATTTTATATTCCAACTACTAACTGCCAATGATTCTGTTACGTGTTCGCCAACGTGTGCACGGGACCTCGGGTTTTGTTCTATCCGAACTACTAGATGGTGTTCCTTGGGAAAATCCATACGAAAGTTACGCTGTCTACATTAGCACCCTTTGAGAACAGAAATAAGATTAATGAAATGGGGTTTAACGTCCTGCTGTTCTGGCTGGGTCCTGAGAACCGAGTAGATAGTTCTCTGTGTTCAGAATGTGGAACTACCGTAGAACTTTCTTGGCGAACACCGAGAGCGTATCCGAGACCAGCTGGTGAGCGAGCCACCGCGACTCCCTGTCGAATCATGGTCAACGTTAATGACCACATCCCAAGCGAAAATTATTTCTATTGACTCAACGACTATCAAAACTATTGAAAATAAATAATTCATTTTGTGTCAAAAACCAATTCAATAAAAGTCATTTACGGCGTCAACGACATTTAATGGTAGTGAGGTTTCCAACTACAGCCTGATTTTACACCCACAAATAAATGAATTATCAATATTTATCATAATTGTCTTTTATATTGTATTTAAGAAGTCTATTAAAGATCAGAGCTTTTAAGGTATTGGTTAAATAAGACGGGGTTTTACGTCCTACTGATCCGACTAGAATATAGATCAGTGGTTCTCAACCTTTTTTCTTAACGGGCACCTTGGAACATATGAAAAAAATAGCGGCACACCTGGCTAAATATATATGAAAAATATTTGAATTTTGCAAAATAAAAACATGGCATAGACGGCATACAGCTGTAGTCATAGACACATAGAATGACTCAAACTAAATAAAGAAAAACACAGCTATGAACTTACCAGTAGATTAATGAAGACGGGCATACGTCATACAGTGTGCTACGTGGGAAAATTTGCCCGGATAGCGGCGCTAGGGCCTAGTCATATATCGAATTCCAACTGCCAAGGGATCTTTTTCGTGCACGCTAAGTGTATATAAAATATAAAGCTACATGTCGCAACCATTATATGTAATGTAAATGCATGTCACACACCAATTCCAGGGTATTTGATTATAGAAGTTGTTTTAATTCTCTGATTCATTTGTGGCATTTATTGAAATATGGTATGTGTCAAAATAAATAATTATTCTTTCAAGTTCTGTAAGAATGTAAAATATGAACTTAACATTAAAAGAATTATTCTATATAAAGTAAGTAAAAAAGGTATTCACCGTAATAGTTGGCTTAGTTAGTCCTTTTAATCAACGATTACTTCCTTTTAATCAACGATTTCTTTAATTTAATATCGTAATGTTGACTGGATGGCGCTAGCTAATGTGGTTATTATTAACAGTTCGACAATCTGTTTGAACTCGGTTATCTTAAGTAATTCAAACGTAGAACAAACGTCACTAAGCAATTTATAAACTGTGCTTTCATTGGCTGGTATCAACAACTCGCTGTACACCTTGAACAGCCCCCAAACGCATTCTGAAAACTTATTTGTCGTCCACTCAAATCCCTCGTTTCTTCGATACAGTGAATATGAGGATTAGTATTCACACAATCCGATATTGCAACACAAAGATGAGAAAACGTTTGCGCCAACCGAAAAACTTTGTGTCCTTTTTGATTGTATTGTCGTTCTTATTATTATCTGTGTCTGTTGCAATCCAGTGCTATTTTTGTCGAGCAACATACAATCTTCATAATCCGTATATTTTACCAAGAGAGTCTTTGGTGTCAGAGGACATTTACAAAACATTGTCAACAGGAGCTCACAAAACTGGTTTGGCAGAACAAACATCGTTTATTAGTGTACATTATATGTGGTGCATGGAGAACTATTTTACATTTAAACACTACCTTAGTATCATGGGCATCATGAAGATCATTCAACCTGATGAAATCATATTTCACTATGTACGACTACCGACAAAACGTGAGCATAACTCTGCCACCTGGATTGAAGACTTACAACGAGAAGTGACTATTTTGACCTTTGAACCAAAACCAGACGTACAACTGTGCCAACAGTTCTACGCCGATAGAAGTTTTACTGACACCCACATATCGGGTTTATTTATAGCTCATAATATTGTTATCAGTAATCTTTCGCGCGGGCATGTAGTGGATAAATTAAAATACACATGTAACAACCACGATGAATCAACGTGTAACAAACATTACAGAAACCCACCTACCAAACAAATAAAAATAAAAGCGTCACAAACATCACAGAAACAAAATAATCACCATAGGAACACGGAAGTTATTAACTGTCCAACAATAGCGGGATTTTACCGTTCACGGAATTTATTTTCGTGTGTTGCAATTATGAATGATATTAACGTTGATGATATACTTTATGGTGATGCGCATTTTGTTAAATTAGCCAGGAGTATTTTATATGGCAGTGAAAACCCCGTAGAGCCCATTTCGTCCATTGATAATCTTATACCCTTGAATGGACACGTTATCGCAGAGAGGTTCTCCTTTCTCACTTTTGTTAGCATCTATAGTGCTGTTAAAATCGGTGGTTTCAAATCTATATTTTTTCATGGAAAATATATGCCAAAGAGTCAATTCTGGGACAAATTGCAGACGTTAGATGCCCAAATTGTGTTTGTAGCGGTGGACTTCGAGCAATTTCCCACGTCCACGCACAGCTTGCTTCAATACAGTTTTTATTTGTTGTTACAATATGGTGGCGTTGTTTTTCGCGAAAATGTCATCTGGCTCAAACCCCTAACGATTGAAATTCGGAAATACGACACAGTTGCGAGCTTAAGGAATCCTACTGAAATATCTACAGGTGGGCAAGTCAATTTCAATATACTGATGGCAAAGACCGGGTCAAAGTTCCTACAAGGTCTTATTCCATTACACCAACAGTTATCGTGTGATGTCTCTAAAACGGAAACAGATTTCGGACTTGACGCGTACCATTTATATGAACAGCAACCAGGTACTATATTTTGGTTTGAAGACTTAATGTATACCATGAACTGTGATCAAAATGAATGTTTCTCAGAACCCGATAACCCAAGAAAAAATGATAAATTGGCAGTTTTTCTACAGTTCTCTCCCAGTAAAACACAACTAAATTTTAACGTCCAACACCTTGGAAAATATAGGCAATTAGACTCTGGAATTAATATTATTTTAAATGGTGTATGAAGTGCCTAATTATACATGAATAATATATCAATAAAAAATAAGGAAATAAATGAAATGAAATGAGGTTTAATGTCCTACTGTTCTGTTCCGAACTGGGCTAATGAAGACGGGCACACGCCATACAGTATGCTATGGGGGAAATTTGGCCCGGATAGCTGCACTACGGCCTACTCTTATGTCGAATTCCAACTGTCAAGGGATCTTTTACGTGCCGGCCAATGTGTACACGGGACCTCGGTTTTTCGTTCTATCCGAACGACTAGACAGCTGTCCTTGTCAGACTCTCCTGCATCACTGACATGTGGGAACCACGCCGGAAAACATGGATGAACTTTCTCAGCCATTGCTTGGATCGAACACCCGACCTTCAGACTAGCGAGCCAGCGTCTTACCCACTTAGCCACCGTGATTCTTTTAGAGTAAAATATGTTTTTTACTTCATAAAGTTTTACAAGTTGTTGCGGCGATGCGTTTTTGATTCGATAGCCTAATAATTTCTGTGCTGGATTGCATAATATTATATAATTAAATATGATGTGTTACATATGTCTTTATGTTAAAGTTGGATAATCTTTAATCCAAACGTCTACAGGACACAAATGATTTTAATTCTTCTTTAATTACTTGTCATTCATTGTTAAGTATACCACACTTATTAATATTAAGTAGTTAAAGGGGGATTATTATGCAAGAGTTAAATTTGCCCCTTGTGAGTCTTTTTCGTGGCTTCAAAGGTTATATTAAGACATTTATTCACATGCCAAGCCCATAATCAACCCTCTAGACAATCGCATGGCTTATATATTGAAGTGGATTAGACAGTTCCATTAAATTTAATTCGAATGTATTAATATAATCGTGTAAACACTGGTAAATAAAACTGCCCGGGAATGGAGTGGGTTAAAAATCCTATCAACACAATACTTCGGTGATTTTGAGACTGGGATAATTATGAAACGTTATATTTCTGTGATCATAAGAGAGGACATCTCCTGCCTTTTGGACAATTCTTCTCCGATTTCTAAATGTTAAGTTTGTTTTACGCACACGTCCATCTGCACACGGGGTAACTGTGTGGGTTTTGGTTGTCTTCGATTTGAGAACAGCCATGGGCAATAACTTAAAAGCACTAGACAATCAAATCGGGGGGGGGGGGGGCGAATGGTTAGCACGCTCTCGCTGTATCATAAGGCCTGGCATTGAGTCAACTGGCGTGTTTTCGAATCCCCGGTTGTACGTGACAAGGAGTAGGATCGCCTGTCCAACCTCGTGGGTTTTCTCCGGGTCCTCCGGTTTCCTCGCACTGCTAAAGACCCCTACGCACAAGCGAATTATTGAAATAAAATTAAACCATATGTTAGTCCCGAAATGACATAGTTTGTGTCAAGTGGACGTTAAACCCCATTTCTCTCTCTCTCACACAATCAAATCGTGTAGAATTATATTAAAGTGCACATTAGGTCACCAGACGAAATTTTCTGTACTTATAGCCAGTGGTCACTTTATACACTTTACAGCAATCTTGATTAAATTATTCGAAATATTAGCATTTTAGTATCGGACACCCGAAAACGCTTTTCAATTTTTCAATTACAGTCTTTACCCGGTTTATTGGCCGATGACGTCACAGGGACCACACATACAATATACACTATTATAGTCCGGTGGCGGACGGGGTGGGGTGGGGGGAGGGAATCGCCACCCGAGTTGTGAATTTATGAGACCATGTTTTCGAGATATGGGGGGTTCAATGTCTACAATTGGGGGAAAATGGCATTATGTTGATATAAATGATGATCATGTTATATAGTAATAAAACATAAATTTTTAGGACTGTCCATCTCTAAAGAAGTGTATATGATGCCCCTGGACAATTGTTTTGATTTGTGGGGAAATGGGGTACGGGTAGCAGGTGTGTGTGTATGGAGGTGGGGGGGGGGGTAAATTGGCGGGAAATGAGTTCACGTAGATTTAAATGATGATTTTCTTAGAGCTTGGTAAAAAACCATTAATTTTTAATTCCGCTGTACATCTCTAATTATGTGGGCAAGATTCCCTTTGTATGGGGCGGGGCGGGGGGGGGGGACAAAATGTAATTTTTGGGACAGAAACCATTAAGTTCAAAATTGACCTAAAAAGTGTTTTCTCTTTAGCTTTTTCGTTCAATCTGATTAAAACACAGATGCTATTTCGTTTCGTTTTTCATAGTTCAAAATTTCGTTTTACTTGTCTTCACAACACTAGGATCTGGAAGAGTTATTATATAACAGGCGGTCTAGTTGATGTGAGGAATTAGTCAATGAAACTGTCTGTTACGGCGAGTTCTTGACGTGCTCTGCACGGAACTGTGGGTAAACCCCTAGGCACGTCAACGCTCATTGATTAATCAATGTCTGACGTCATAGGTCAAAAGCCGCTCGAATGACCCCTGACGTGACCTTCCAAGTCAACTGGTCAGATCTTCATGTAGTGTAGGCCATCGAAAGTATAAAAAACACGAAACGAAATATACATCTGTATTTTAATCAGATTGCTTTTTCGTTCAGTACCAATTTCGTCATTCCAAATAATAATATTAAATTATAATGGTACTTTTAAAGAGATCTGAAAATGTACATAAAAAACACAGTAAATTAGAGACATGTTTAGGTATTAGTTAATTCTTAGTCTTCATCAGAAGATTCAAAATCAAAGTTCATAATATGAGCGGGATAGATATCTTCTTTATGGCTAATCAATAGCTTGCACATATCCTTTGGATATGCTTCAGATACCCATTCACATTGTAAATCTTCATTTCAGTCTTGTATCGCAGGGTCATCTTGTTCGACTATTTGTGTTCCAGCCTGTCTCCATATTTTTAAAACATAATTGTTGCGTTTAATGTGCTGCAAAAGACTACTTAGGCAAGATGGTAATAAAGAAAGAAAGGTTTGTTATTTTTCATCACAACTAAAATTCCCCCAGAAAATCTTTTTTCCAGTTTCGCCGTACATGGTACAAACAATTTTTTCTAAACAAGTAATTATGTCATCAGAAACATCATTTGTCTGTCCCAGCTCTTTAAAAATTCTCGACACTTTCAATACTAATCTTGATTGGATCAAAAAATATATCAAGATTAGTATGAAAGTGTCGAGAATATCCTAGAGCTGACAACAAAGCACGAGGACACCAAAATAGCTTACCTACTCCTCTACGCATTGCAAATTAATGGAAGCGCTGAAACAAATTGTATTTTGCGTTTTTGCTCGGGCGAAATAGACATCCTTACCATTTTAAGGTCAATTTTGAACCAAATGATTTCTTTAAACAAAAAGACATGCTACCCCCCCCCCCCCCCCCCCGCGGGCACCCATTGTACCCCCCATATCTCGAAAACGCCCCCCTAACGCCCGATCACTACCCAGATTCGGAATCTACGCAAAAAACTGGTCTAGGGGATTGTTATTTATTATTATTATTATTACAACATATTTATAGCGCGCCCTTTAATATAACATGTTCAGGGGCACTTTACAAAGTGACAATATAATCATAAATAAACAACAAGAGAGAGAGAGAGACAGAGACAGAGAGAAATGGGGTTAAACGTCCACTCGACACAAACTAGATCATTTCGGGACTAACATATGGTTTAATTTTATTTCAATAATTCGCTTGCGCGTAAGGGTCTTTAGCAGTGGGAGGAAACCGGAGGACCCAGAGAAAACCCACGAGGTTGGACAGGCGACCCTACTCCTTGTTACGTACAACCGGGGATTCGAAACCACGCCAGTTGACTCAATGACAGGCTTTATGATACAGCGCGCACGTGCTAACCATTCGCCCCCCCCCCCTCCCAAATAAACAACAAGATTATGGACATGTTAACATTGTATACAGAGTCAGATAAAAGCCTGATTAAATAAATGTGTTAAGCTGTTTTTAAAAGAACATAGAGATGTACAACATCTTAAACTTAATGGTAGATTATTCCATAAAACAGGTGCTTGATAACTAAAAGAGCGCTGACAATAAGAGACTATTTAAACAGTTTTGGGCTTTAAAAATAGTTTATCTGATGCATGTAATGTTCGGCCAGGTGTATAAAGTTCTAACAGATCTGAGAGGTAAACAGGAGCTAAATTATTTAAACATTTAAAAGTAAGTAATAAAATCTTAAAATCAATTCGATATTTAACAGGTAACCAGTGTAAATTATATAAAACAGGAGTTGTGGGGTCGCATTTCTTAGTTAAAGTGTAGCTGTAGTATTCTGTATTTTTTGTAATTTATCTATAAGCTTTAGACCAACTAAAAGTGAATTAAAGTTATCTAATCGATAAGTGACCAGAGAATTAACAAGTGACTTAGTGGCCTCTACAGTTACAAATTTACGTATTTTACCTATATTTCTGATATTAAAATAGCACAATTTACAAATATTATTTACTTAAGCTCCCAGAAGCATAAAAATATCAAAAATTACGCCAATATTACGAGCAGAATAAGCAAATATTCGGTTTTATCATCATTCAATTTTAGTATGTTCTTTGACATCCATTTTCTAATTTCACTAATACAGTTCTCAAGTTGAAAGAAGACGGACAATTAGGTGTAAATGAAATATAAAATGGAGTAGCATCGGCATACAAATAAAAGCCGAGACCATATTTTCTGACAATATCACCTAATGGTGACGTATAAAGGGTAAATAAAATCGGACCAAGAACGGAACCGTGAGGAACCCCAGATGACAAAAAAGATTCAGACGACGATTTACAATATACACTGTTTTCTACCCACAAGATAGCTCTCTAAAAGTTCCAAGAACGGAACCGTGAGGAACCCCAGATGACAAAAGAGATTCAGACGACGATTTACAATATACACTGTTTTCTACCCACAAGATAGCTCTCTAAAAGATTTAAAGCGGAGCCGCAAATACCGAATTTAAAATGAAGTCTACGTAATAGAATAGAATGATCCACCGTGTCGAAAGCAGCAGATAAATCTAATAAAATTAAAAATGTACATTTTCTATTATCAATTTCCATTAAAATATCATTTGAAACCCTGGTTAAAGCTGTTTCGGTACTGTGAATTTTTTTATAAGCACTTTGAAATGGTTCATAAAAACAGTTATCATCTAGATGGGCCTTTATCTGAGAAGCAATACATTTCTCCAATATTTTATAAATAAAACTTAAGTTTGAGACAAGTCTGTAATTTTTAAAAACATTAGGATCCAGTGTAGACTTTTTAATTAAAGGGGTAACATAAGCTTGTTTGAAATTGTTGGGAATAGTAGAGGATGATATACAAGAATTAATAATATTGGTAAAAACTGGAATAACTTCGTCTAGACAGTCCTTAAGAGTGTTTTCGATAATCGGCAAAGTCTTTTTTACGGGAGGTCTATATTTGCGACTTCGAGTGAAGATAGCTGATTTTATAATAAAACATGTTGATATTTATGAAACCCAAGCTCGATTCGACAATCCACCGAGAGTGTACCTTTTGACCCATATTATCACGAAAGATAACTGCTTTGAAAAATTCTGAGACATGGGGACTGGGAGTGTAGGAAATCCCCCCCCCCCCACACACACACCTCCCCCCGCCTTCCCCAAAAATCAAAAGTAAAAAGTAAATCCAAAATGTAAATTAAAATCAAAACACAAATGAAAACTAAAATCATTTTTAAAAATAATTTAAAATGTAAAACAGTGGGACGTTAAACCCCATTGAATTTCATTTATCTTTGGCATGAGTGTAGCCTTGGTTATGAAACGCAGCAGGTTTACATGTTGTATCTACTTTAGCGGTGGACACACTAGTCGAATCATTCGACCGAATCAAACGACATCGAAATTCGCCTAGGTCCAGTGTCATTCGGTCGAATTTCTATTCGCCCGAATCAAACACGTTTGATATACACTGAAAAAAAACTTGTGTTGGATCTCAACACAAGTACTTGTGTGAAAATTATTCTACACAAGTTATGTGTTGTTTTGCATTGCATTAACACAAACTTGTGTTCTTTTTAATGCATTAACACAAATCTTGTGTTTTTTCCATATAATTAACACAAGTAATGTGTACCGTCAACAAATATTTTTTTTTTTAAATTTGAACTCCATACAAAGTCTTAATCCGGGGGTCCACAAGTAAGAGAAAGGTATTTTTTACTCAGACAATATAGCCAGACAGACTTGAATGCTAATTGGTGTTAAGATGTCTGTAGTTAAAATAAAGTTGGGCCCAATAAACTGGTAGATCAAAGGCCTGTTGAGCGCTCATGCCCGGTGTGATTTTAACAATTGACTCCAAATGCGTTGACAAGAAAATAAGTAAAACTGTTATTGAATGTGATTGGTTGATAAAATCAACGTACTATAGGCTACATTTTGTCTGCGATATCATCTCGGTGGAAGCGGACATTAAATGAAGTGATTTCACACAATTAATTTAACATTTAACAACGTGCTGAAATGATTTTGGAGCAGTGATATGTTTGACAAATGTAAGCTAATGGTCACATAGAATACAAGACCGCAGGTTTGTGAATATTTATATAAAAAAAATAATACCATGTATGTAATTTAGCATCGATATTGTTTCTCTGTGTCAAAATTTTTGCCCCGATTTTGCCTCGTTGTAACGAGGTAAAAAAAATACCTCGTTTCTCTGGAGTTCCAAAACGTGTTTTTTTTTTTAAATTGCCCTGTTTTTGGAACGAGGTATTTTGTTCAGAACGAGGCTGGGTAAAATTGCCTCGTTTACTAAACGAGGTATTTTATCCAAGATAATTATTAGCGGTATTTGCTGTCGACAAATAGAGCCATACAAATAATGTTCGGACCATCATGTGACCAATTGCAGATCTACAAATTAGATTATTTATTTGGGACATGATATTGTTCATAGTTATGGCTTACTACACTGGAGTTCTATTATGTATAATAAACGCTTCCCGAGCGAAACAAAACATAACAATGTCACGTGACAATATTACATATGGCGGATACAAGCGTTCTTTGATTACATGCTGTTTGGTTTGATTATTAAATAATACGGCAATCTGTATATATGGGAAAAGGAGAATAAATTTCCCCAAATCCAAAACTAGATGACTGGAATATTTATTGAATGGAAAGTAAATATTTTATAAACAAAAATATTCGGATTTGCGGTATCCTAGCTTGGATGGATTTGTGATTTGAATCTCGAACTCAGTGTTTTATACATTTTATTATAAAATTGTAATAAATGTTTTACATGAATGAATAAAATCTACAATTTAAAACAGTACAATAACATTGTGATTTGACGCTCTACAAATCATTAAGAGTATAACAATTGCTTGTTGAAAAAGCGTTAATAATATGTTTTTTTCCATTTATTATTTTTTAAAAATATATTCAAAAAGAATGCGTCTTTTACAGATTTCAATATAACCACAAATGGTTGATTGTTTTAATGCTAAGATAAATATTAATGGTTTGTATTTGAAAATCAAATTATATAAGCGAAAAATAGTAAGATACATTATGTATATCTTAAAACACGCCCTTCTCAGTTACTACTTCGGCGAATATCGTTTGATAATTTAGATGATCAGAATTAAACACCGTTTTGCTATGTTATTATTTTTTTATGATTGGGTGGGGGTATACTTAATTAGGGGATTGGATTGAAAGATTATAGCTACCATCTTATGGAGACATAATGTGTGGTGCATTTACGGTCTTATAAAGCTCTATTCTTACATAAAGAATTCTTGATTCGCACGGAAGTGTTTTAGCCGTGATCATTTTAAGACATGCTTATGCCAAGATCTGGGTAAGTGTTAATTTAACTAGATATCAGAAAAGTACCACGTTTTCATAAATGTACTCTTTAGATAAATTGTACAATATTTATCAGTTCACTAGTTACAATAAAATCATGCATTATAGCTATTTTTATTTATTTATCCCTGGTGCTTCAAATTCAATTTAGGGTGCCTCAACATATTTAAAAATATGTTTTAAAGCTTTAGGTCATTTTATTATATCTTTCTACCATAAATAATAGCCCGAATTTAGGTATACCAAAAGTTAAAGAAATATAAACAGTTTTTGAGTCATTCAGATATGACTGCCAAAATTGTCACCAACACACATGTCGTGTTAAGGCTAAAATCTAACCAGAAAAGTATTGTCAATACATAATAAAATATATATTGCATTAATCAATTCCATTCCGCAATTGGTTTGTCTTAAACTCGTCATTTGTGTTCATGGGCATCAGGGTCGAGATGGCAACGTTATATGTTTTATTCGTCTAATTTACTATAAAACATCATTCGGTTTGCCTCACGGGTTAACGGCATATTAATAGCTTTATTCACTGAGATGGTTCCTTTACTTATAGTTTATTTTTCGAATTGCTTTTTGTATTTATTTAAATGGAAATATTAACAACATTCTATAAGTCAATCCACGAACATACCCAATTTCAATATTTGCGTGTTGACCTTTAACATCACACTTAGATCCTGTACGCTTTGTGTCTTACAGTCAATACATGTCATGAAGAACTCTTTAGACATAATTTCGTTTATAATACTTTTCTCGTTTCTATTGAGTTGTTTAGCAGAAGTAACCCATGACAACAATATGTTGAGACGACTACGTAACAGAATAGGACGATTCAATGTTATTAAAATGACACAATGACAATTTTAATTTTATTACCAACCCTTTCACAATATTTGAATGAAATATCTCACACAGGATGTTAATCTGTTTTCAGTTTCTATTCCAATTCAATAAAACATTTAATACATTTCTTGGCTTGATTCATTATTTACAATTTAATACGTTAATCGTGTATTTTAAATAATACAGTTCAAGAGATCAAAACATTTCCGAATTTATACATTCAACATTACACGTAGACCTAAATGTATTTTTCAAATACGTGTATAAACATTTATATGAAATATATTATAAACAGATATGCTATGACCAGAGTTGCCATTATCTTTATTATTCGACTGGAAAACTCCTGTCATTCACTCTGTCGTTCGACTGATCCATCATTCACGTTGTCATTTCCGAGTCTGAAATTTGGGGTATAGGGGTAGCTCGGACCGGGGAGTAACATATGCCAGTTGGCGTTAGTCTACCACTTCCGGTTTCGGAGTTATGACCCCCGAGCGAAGCCGGGCATTCTTCTAGTATATAAATAAATATATAAATAAATCATCTTCATGGTCATCATCATCGTCATCGTCATCATCACTATTTAACACCAATCATCGTCGCCTGACAATTACCTTATCTATTCAAAGCGCTTGTTTAGTTTTAAATACTTGTGAACTTTACTAAAACTCACTTTGTTGAACGGGTTACTTTCGTTGGTATCGCCATATAGGAACGCTTTTGTATTTATGGATTTAAATGGGAGGGTATTTAATGTTGAGATACGCTGAGACGAATAATTTGGGCAGTGCAGAAAATAATGGTCGCTGTCTTCTTGAGTATGACCACAACTGCATGTCGGGTTATGTGAAATATGCATTAAAAATCTATGGAAGTTTAGAGCACTTTTACAATTATTACGAAGTCTGGAATGTATAATCTGAAATTTACGTTCTCCATAGTAACATCTTACTGACATCAATAAATACAAAAATATGACTAAGTCGAAAGTCAACAAGACGGTATACAAGCCAAAATGCAAGTCGAAAATAAGAAATTAGGAAAAAAAACGAGGGGCGCTATTATCGCAGTGTATTATTTCTTGATTTCCTATTTTCGAGTCGATTTTGGCTTGTATAGCGTTGCTGTCGCCTCACATTTTGTCGTAACTGCTACTTTTCGACTTTCGTGTTTTAGAGGGCGAAAAGTAGAAATTAAGAATGGTAGGCTTCTATAGTTAGGCGTTTGTATATATGACTGTATACTTGACACATGTACGACCTGAATGGCTGAATGGCCGGTAACCAAATATGTTATTGTGAGTGTTAAACGACATCGTAATTATTTTATATTTTGCAAAAAAAAACAAACAACAAAAAACAAAACAAAAAAACACAAGCCGTGATTGCCATTACTACAATGAGTGTTAAACGACATCGTAATTATTTTATATTTTGCAAAAAAAAACAAACAACAAAAAACAAAACAAAAAAACACAAGCCGTGATTGCCATTACTACAATACGGATTACTAAATATACTTTGTGTTCAATTTTATATTTTAATACTGAAGAAAGGGCCGGACTATAAATGAACAAGGCGGATCCTTTTGGCTTATATTGAGTAATTATTGCAACGTGTTACAGTTGAAAGTTCCAAAGCATTTTCACATTCCATGTCCGATAAATTTAATCATCATGCAACTACTGATTGGTGGGTCGTCGAAACATTTAGATGCATACATCACAGCACCGTGGTTTAGACAACTTGCAATTGAACTAGTTTTATTGTTGTACACATAATGAAAGAAACTGTGTTATTTCACAGCTGAATTCTATGGTAAGAACCGTAGAACCACCTTGTAGGGAATAACTTTTAAACTTTAACACCCTATACACACTCTGCCAGCGGCATCTTTGACCCACACTCTCTTAACATTAATCCAAACTTTAAATCTTTCAACGGTTTAACAAGAAGGTGACTTTCCCTTGCTTATGAAATGAAATACGGTTTAGTATCCTACTTTTCTGTGTTCTTAGAGTGATTCTGCCCTACACCCTACTCTTATATCAAATATTTCAACTGTCAAGGGTTCTTTAATGGGAACCCGGGGGGGGGGGGCAATGATTAACACGCACACATTTGATCAGGAAGTCTGTCATTGAGTCAAATAATTCAATTGTCAAGGCTTCTTCTAAGTGAACGCAGTGGGGATGGTTTCGATTCCGGGAATGGGGGAGGGGGTGGTGGATGGCCGAATGGTAAGCATGTGCGTGCGGTATCATACGGCCTGTCATTGAGTCAACTGGCGTGGTTTCGAATCCCCGGTTGTACGTGACAAGGAGTAGGGTCGCCTGTCCAATCTTGTGGGTTTTCTACGGGACCTACTGTTTCCTCCCACTGCTAAAGACCCCTATGCGCAACGAATTATTGAAATAAAATTAAACCATATGTTAATCCCGAAATGACCTAGTTTGTGTCAAGTGGACGTTAAACCCCATTTCTCTCTCGCTCTCTTTCGATTCCGGGCTTGTACCCAATTATCCCTTGCCATATCCAAGACTACTGACAAGTGGGAACTATGCCGGAAAATCCAGTTGAAATTTCTCGGCCAACACCTTATACTCACTGAACCACTGTGGCTTATGACTTGTGGGGTGTGTGTGTGTGTGTGTGGGGGGGGGGGGCATTATATATAACACAATATAATAAGTATTAGAATTCTCTGTTTTTCTGTTAAAATTTCAAATATCTATTTAGTTTTGATGTATTAATTTACCTTTTCCTATGATTTTATGAATAAATAATAATCTTACAAAAACAAAAACAAATTTTGTTTCCTTCTTTTATCAAACTTTACAGGTCTAACAGAGCAAAGAGATGGGTCCTGCATAAAAAGGTTGCTATACTGTATATAAATTGGGGAAAAACACAACACAAGTTTTTGTGGATGGTTATACACAAGTTTGTATGAAACCACACAAGTTTCAGAAATTTCAACACAAGTTTCAGAAATTTTAACACAAGTTTCAGAAATTTCAACACAAGTTTCAAAAATTTCAACACAAGTTTCAAAAATTTCAACACAAGTATTGTGTAGATTTTCACACAAGTTTCAACACAAGTTTGTGTTGTTTGATAAATTTAACACAAGTTTTGTGTTGTTTCAACATTTAACACAAGTTTTGTGTTGTTTCAACATTTAACACAAGTTTTGTGTTGTTTCAACACAAGTTTGTGTTGTTAAATAGAGACACCTTACTTGTGTTGAAAACAACACAAGTTTGTGTTGTTTCAACACAAGTTTTTTTTCAGTGTATCAGACCGAATGAAAGTTATATTCGCCTGGTGTGTCCGCTTCGGCGAAGCATTCCCCCAACTGTAGTATTCATTAGCCATGATTACGTGATTGTTTGCAGACATGGTCGCTGTCATGCTTAATCATGTGGCGTGATAGGAGATGCAAATGACTGGTGAATCGGCCGAAGGAATCGCCTATAGTGTCCACTCATTCGGCCAAATTAATCAGCTGCAATTCGGCGTCGATTGATTCGACCGATTGATCCAACGACTTGACCAAATGATTCGCCTACAGCTAGTGTGTCCACCGCTTAAAGGTTCAATACCACTCTTGTTGTAACTGAATAATACGTCCCAATCTTTATTCTGGTCAACAAATTGTACTATTTTACAATATTCCAAGTAATTGACGATACAAATTTCATCTTAACACACCTTATTTAAAAATTTTGAAAAATCCAACATAATGGTTTGAAACGTCTTACGTAAACCTTTTCAAATGAAACTTCGATTTAAAAATATTTTCGAACCCTTTGGACAAGTAAAATAGGATGTAATGGATAATTTAGACAACAGGTAGGACACTTAAACATCTAGTACTTAGATAGAGATATTATTTATTTTCTGGAGCTTTCAAGCCAGCAAGAGTGTTATTGTCCCTTTAACAATAGTTGCTTGTGGTATATAGGCCTCACTAAATCGGACAGCCACGGTGACTCAGCGAGTAAGGGGTTAGGTCGTTAACCTAGAGTTCCCGTGTCCAATCCCTGCCTTGACCGAGAAAGTTCATATCCAAAATTGTACGACAGCCAAAGATAACTGACTGGGCTAATGATTGGTCTAATGAAGACGGGCA